CAGACATTTACCATAGAATTGCACAGGAGGAGCTACAAATGTCTAGTGGAGTCTTCTCTCTAGGAATCTCTAGGTCCTTCAGTGCAACTTTTGGTTAAAATTGACCACAGAATTGCACTGGAGGACCTAGATATTCCTAGAGAGAACATATTAATAAAATCCATGAATATTCAAATCCACAAAAGTCAAAGCCGCAAATGTGAAGGGCCGAGTGTATAATAAAGTTACTGTTTATTCTTTACATTAGATGTCTCTGTCTGAGTCTGAGTGATGTTTATAAGCTATAAACAAAGGCGAACTCAACTTAAAACATTGAACTGCTTTGTGAAATACTAGGGATCCTGGCCCTTATACACTTCAAAATAGTGTTAATAAAGTAAATACAGGGCAAGTGTCAGTGACTAGGGGTCTTCTGTTGAGGTATCTAAGGCTTAAAGAAGGTCCCGTGACACCATGCTATTCTGATTTTTTTATCCATGGATTCAACCATTCATGGCTTGAAAATATTACAAAAATGTATATAAATTCCAAAAAGCAAACCTTGATTTTGTCATTTGGTATAAGGGACATCATTTTACTATGTCACTATATTTAATGGGACTTGAGCATCAATGGATTTTGGTATTCATGGTGGGTTGTGGAACCATCCCCAGCAGATACAAAGGACCCACTGAATCTTGCATGAACAAACTTGAAGGAACTTTGTTTCTTTTGCTTGAGAAAGAGAGGTTAGTGCAGCGGTGGTTGGTGGCTCCCATATCAGGGCGATAGTGAATCCATTTTGGTGTTCAATCTCAACCTTATAGGAGCTATCCAAGGTGCTGAGTTTAATTTGTGGATAAGATTCAGCACTTTGGAGAACTTCATAGTCTGGACTACAACCTATAGTGCACTCACCATCCCACTGGTATCAGAACTACTGACTAAACAAAGATAAAAATACCTGTGGAGTGTGACATACAAGAGGACAAAGGCTTTTTCTTCTGCTGCCTTAGAGGGCATGTCTGTCTAGTGCAAGCAGTCTTCGGTGACAAGAGGGTACATATTGGCTGAAACAGCATGGCATTTGGTACAGTTCAACAATACAACCAGTATCTGGAGAAGAAGTGGGCTCTTGCCGGAAATCTTTAAGTAGAGGCTCAAGAGTCATCTGCCAGCAATACTCCTCACTGAATTTCTTGCACTGAGAAGGAAGCTGAATTAGATGGTCCACCATGCCCCCATTCAATCCTGTGATTCTATAAGTGCTAAAACAGCACACCCGCTTACTAAAATTAGAGTCTTCTAGATGAGCCCTAAGCTAGATAACAGCAACAGCCAATGTAAAGTGCTGGTTGCCTGATTGCAGCAGTTTCAAATATATCAGTGAGCTTCATGAGCAGGAAGGGGGAAATGTGCCTGTAGGCATAATCATTTCTGTCCTGTATGGCAGAAGAAAGAAAGTACCATGGGAAAAATGTTCTTCGTGTTCAAATAAAACAGTTCTGAAACCTATCAATTAAAGAAATGGAAAATTAATTTGAAATGTTTAGCTATTGCAATGTAAGCAGCATGACAATTTTAGAGTTTATAACCTGTGGAAACATCCATTTTAGAAAGTGCATTTTATCCTGTGAATCCTTATAAATGGAGGCTATTTGTCTTTTTATTTTTATTTTTGTAGGGCACTGCCTTTCCTAAAGGCATTGACTACCTTTCTGCACTGAAATTCCAACTTGCCTTTCATAGCAGCTAATGCTATTGAAAGCATCCAGTGAAGCAAATATTAACAGGGTCCGAATCAAGATGAAGGGAACATAGTGAAAAAGAAAAAAGAATAAGAAGCCAGCCTTAAACTACTTGGTGTAGAAAACAATGGCCCAAACATACACATGCACATACACCACACTGCACTTTTTCTCTCTGCTGCAGTATGAAAACTGGATTCTCTCAAACAATGAGAGTGGGAAACCGTGGCCCTAGAGATGCTTTGCCTCAAAACTCCCATCAGTCCTAACCAGCCTTTTTTAGTGAGGGGGATTATGGGAGTCATTGCTTTAATACATACGGAGGATAAAAGTTGCTCACCTGTATTTTATAATGTAAAGTAGTGGCTCCCTAACTGCCTTTCTTAGAACAATAACATCCACAATCCACAAAACAGTGATACCTTTATTGGGCCAACCAAATGCAAAAAAATAATTGCTCTAAGTTTTCGAAAAATACACACAACATGTATTTTTTGCATTTGGTTGGCCCAATAAAAGTATCACTGCTTTGTGATATTGGATGTTATTGTACTTTGTCATATGGCCAACACGGCTACCTCTGGATATGCCCTGCTTACAGTTAGTGAAGAAAAATCCAGGAAAA